CCCCCCTCCCTTGGGCGCCAGCCCAGCGCTCCTGGCCCCGCAGAGCCGCCGCCGGCCTTCCCGCTGCTCCGGACCCGTCCGCGGCTCCCGCGAGCTCCGGCCGAGCCGCGGTGCTCCAGGCTCCTGGCACGGGGCAGCCCGTTGTGTCCACGACCGCGGGCAGGGACCGGGCCGTGCACATTCACTGATGGGAAAATCCCCTCAGAAAGGGGCAGATCGAGAGCAGAGTACCAAAAAACAGGTGAACTGCCGCTCAGAGCTTAAAAATCCCAAGTTTTTATCATGGGTAATGGAAGCAATTTCTCAGAGCAAGGTGTGTGGAGATGACGGGCTGACCTTTTTCTTTTAATAAATAAAATGGCTGTACAGCTTCAGTTGCAGAAACCTTGAGACAGCTAAAACGTAGCTGTCATCAACAACCAGGCTTCAGTTGTAGCACTGAAGCTTTCCTGTTAAGCTTTCCACAAATTCATTTTTTCTCCCCCCTGTTTGTACAGACCCATTATCAGATTACTTTTGCATTAGGCAAGGATTTGTATTTAGTGGCCTTCAGGTGCTCAAATACGGTATGCTTGTTTTGATTGAAATGAAATTATATTTTAACTTTCTAATGCATTAATTTTTGTTCTTTCAGGATACACAGCGTTTTTGGGACACGCCTTTGTTGGATTTTAATACATGTCCTGCTAACGACAGCTTTCAACTATGGAATCGGTAAATATTTGCCTGCCTTCTGTGCAAGTCCGTCTGTTATTACCTACCAAATGCTTGCGTCCATGTTGGTGTGTGCTAATATTTTCCTGATATTTACTGAAACTTGAGGCTAAGCTTTCTAAGGATAACCGAACCAAAGAATGGAATAACTGAACAGAACTGAACCAAGATTATCTTAGGAAATGCCTTTAGTTTTAATAACCCCCCTGGTTTTTATAGTGTTTCAAATGTGCAAGTTGTTTCCCTGACTTTGGGGGAAGCCAAAGTTAACACTGCTGCGGAGGCTGTTCCGGAGCCGGTTTGCTCAGCAGACTCGCAGCTTCCTAATGGTGACTGCTGAATAATGAGGATCCTCCTACCTCTAGGAGAGTGTGGTCATCTTTCTTTTCACTTACAGCATATCTTAAAAAAAAAAAAAATCTATCTAAGTGCAAGCTTAGCAAGGTTTTGTGCCCCTGTGATTGGTGTGGCTGAAAGCCATGGCACCTAAGAGGGATTTTTGGGCAGGAAAGCTCCAACACGTTGATGCTGCGGCTTCCATGCAGCGTTAGAGCTCAGCTCCTTGGTAACGTTAGCAGAGGCAGAAACGGCCAGGTGCAGAGCTGTGGTTTGCTAATAGGAAAACCTAGGTGGAAATTCAGAAAAAAAGAGATTTTGCTTGGGTGTTTTGGGAGAGCGGCTGGGGCTGCCCTGCGGAAAGCGAGCGCTGCGGCTGTTCCCAGCGGGAATGCCGTGTGCTGCTCCCTGCTTCCCGAGGGCTCGGCCATGAGCGCGGCTCGAGCCGGGCCCCGAGGGGGCTGGGGGTGCCCCGGGGCCTCTCGGTTTGTGTTTGTGCCTTGAAATCTGCTGCGGTGGAGCTGGCGTTACGATGCGAAGGCTTTTGTTAAAGGAGAGTTACCCCGCGAGGAAAAATAGAGGTCAGCGATATCAGGTGGCTTTGTGAGTTAGTAGGTGTCTTTTGTGCCCGGTTTTGAGCAGAAAAAAAAAATAATTGTCTCCATCTGAATACCTTGGAATTAATATGGACAAACGAAGTACAAGAGGTTATTTCAGTTTCCCCTAGTGAATATTAATAGCAGTGCAAGCCTTTCAGAGCGAGACAAAACAGAGGAGGCATCAGTGACTCTCCCCTGCTGCAGCTCAGTAATTAAAGTGTATCAAGTGTGAGACCTTTTGCTGTCGCATGCAGTAACTCTGTCTTTAATGGGAGTTCCACCGTTCCCTGAAAAACCCAGCTGAATCTTGATATCAATTATAAAACAGATTGTTTACTACATAATGCATTTCCATGTTTGTTGCAAGCATTTTTCAGTCTCAGTTTTGAAAGAAATGGTATTTTGCATTGTTTTGTATGCAAACTGTATATGTGTATATATATATATGTATATTTTATAAAAAGGCAAGCTGATGATAATTGCAGGAGCTCTCGCTTCCCCGCGTGCCTCCTGGCCGTGTTCGCGTGGCGCCGGTGGCCGGGGCTGGATGCTCCGCGTTGCAGGCGGTTCTGGAGCGGCGTGGCAGACCGTGTCCGTGCAGAGCGTCCCGGGACGCGGTGCCCGGAGCTCACACCGAGGACCCCCTTAGAAGGACGGACCCCATATATTCCTTTAACCCCGTTCTCCTCAGGTGTTTTCTGTTCTGTTTGTTTAAAGCCCTGCTCTGATAATTATGGGCCCAGCCAAAGCAGTGGAAGGAGAAACTTGGCAGATGCGGTTGTTTGCTGTTACGTAACCGCCACACTGTACAGAATAAATAGTTCCTGTGAAGTCAGATGTTCTCCTTCGCAGTCAAGTGACCTTTTCCAGTAACACAAGCGCTGCCCTGGCCTCGCGGCCCGCGCCGCCGCGGGACAACCTGGTGTCATGTCTCTGTTCTGGGAAGATGGTGTTGTGCTGTGGAAGAGGCTGCCCGTGCTGTAAATGCGGGTGGAATGCGTTCCGAGAGGATCTGCTGAGGGATCCGCTGAGCCAGGAGCGGCCCCAAATGCGGGATGCGATGGGAGGGAGCGGGCGGAAAACCCGGGCCCGTTCGGCGGCAGGAAGAGAAGCCCCTCTGCATGGTGGCGGATGGCCCCTTCCTGCAGCGTACAGGAATTGCTGCAAGGAGCGACACCGTAAATACTCACGTTACTCTGGTACTTAAATACCTCAGCTCCCATGGCAGTAACTGCGGAGGTCCTGTCCAAATGGGGGGAAAAGGGGGATTCTGATGGGGTGTCCAGGCTGCTGGCTTCCTATAACCTGCACATACGTAATCCTGCGTCTCCCGGATGCATTCCTTGGAACAAGTTACGTTTGTCATGCTCAATCCTTTTTGTTTTGAGGGGAAGCGCTGCATTAGAGCGAGTTAATTCTGCAGGAGGCGCCGATTCAAATGGGTGGTGGCGCAGAGCTGGAGCGTGCGAGCTGACAGCTGGGATAATTCTCACTTTCCCAACATCTTCATTAGAGAAGCAGAGGGGTCAAGGCTTTCTCAGAGCAGCAGAGAGATTGAAATGGCTTTTGATGGTGGTTTTGGCACCGGTATTTTACTGAGTTCATAATGAATATGTAGGTGTAAGATTAAAAGAATGAATAAGGTAGCGCTGCTAAGCAGAATTGCTTTTCAGAGCTGGAGTCTTGCCTTGTCCTGACCTCCCGAGAAGGCTGCAATTGTGAAGCTGAGGCCCGTAGTGCAAAAGCAATTACAGTGCATGGTTCCAGAGCTGAATCATCTTGGGGAAGTCAGATGCTGTAGGAATGGCAGTATTGTTTAGATGAAATATGGCTTTACCTGTTTATGTTTCTTCCTGTTAATTCTTTAAACTTGATCATAGACGATTCTCGGTATTTATGGCTTTGGGAGGAAACAAACTTGGTGTTTTACATACAGAATGTCTTTTCTTAGAAGCCTTCCGAGTTTTCAGGACCTTTTCCAGCGGTTCCAGTTCTCGTCCCTGGTGCGTTGGGTTCGGAGGTGACGCAGGGGAAGGGCAGGGCAGCTCCATGGGCCGGGGAGCCGCACGGATGTCCCTGCTCCGGGGGAGGCCGCGTGCCGGTGCCGTCGCCGCACGGTCGGAGCGGAGCCGCTGGAGCTGCCCGGCCTCGCCTCCCCTGCCCATATCCGTGTCCTGCAGGTGCCGTGGAGCCCCTTGGCCCCGGGGGCAGCGCGTCTCCGTCGCGCTCGGCCGCGGCTCCGCGCGGGCGGCCGCGGCTCCTCCTGCCGCTCTGCAGCCGGCAGCGCCGAGGTTGCACAATCTGGTTTTTAAAGCTGTTTACTTCACTCGTAAATAGGGGTGGCCTTATTGTGAGCCTGGATTTCCTTCGTGGGAAAGAGGGGCCTAAGCTTTTGGACTCAGCGCTGCTGAGACCTACAGAAGAGAGCTTTAAAATCCCCTGGCTCCCAAGGAAAAAAGCTACATTTTCAGTTGTAGCACAAGCCTTTTTTGATTCGAGCGTTCGAGTTGCTGCTTTTACAGTTCCCTGTATTTTATCAGAATGTGTTAAACGGTGCCTGTTATTCACGTGCCTTTGGGGAGCCGTGCGGGTAGGGAGCTCCTTCCTCGTGTCGGACACCGTGGTGCTGCCGTGGGCTCTGGAGCTCACGGGTTACCGTGGCCCTGTGCCACGTCCCAGCGAAGCAGAGACTTCCTTGGCTCTCCGGCTGCAGTTCGGATCTGCATGTTCACCGTGACACAGAAGGAAACTCTCGGCCAGAACAATTCGGCACCACATGCAACGCTTCCCCCTTCCTCTCACGGCCTGTTAAGAACTAGACAAAGCCATTGCATCAGCTGCCTCAGAGAAGGAAGGCTTTTTTTTTCCAGTCTGCTTGGTTTTTGAATCATCCTTTTTTCCCTAAGGGGCTGCATTCTGACCTCAAAAATCCTCTTAAAAAATTATACTTGTGTGTTAGTGTTTTGTAGCTTTGTATCGGCTTATCCACTGCGCACGTAGCAATCAGTGCTGTGCTTGGGAGCCGGCTCAGGAAAGCGGCTGGGGAGGGAGCTGCTGCGTGGGGTCTGCATTTCCAATACCCGCCGCAGTCTGTTATTTCACTGGGGAAATGAGAAAATACATATACCCAGAAATAAGCGCCCGAGTGACACGTGGGTGCTCTATTTCGGGGCAGGACTGTGTAGGTTGTGCGGCGCTCACGTGGCTAATTACAGCTTCCCTTGTTGTGCCACTGCTCGCGGGCCACCGTGTCCCTCCTGCAGTTCAGCACGGCGCCTGGTGTCCACAACCCATCGTTGGCAACAAGCGCCGCGGTCCTTAGCGCTCCGTTTGTTTAGTTGCTGGGATTTTGCGTGGCAGCAAAGCAGGATCTTGCGAGAGAACCAAGTTCTGCGCCGTGCCCCGAGGAAACGGCGCCGCGGACGCGAGCGGAGGGGCGGCAGGATTGCACAAAGCGCGGCCGAGGCCGCTTGTTTGCGGGAGATATCCATCATGCCGTGATTAAGCGCAGATGATGCATTTGGCAGCGAGAGGTATCCAATCTGTTCCTCCTCTAAGGAGCTTACGCACCAGAGGCCTCCTGATAAGACCAGACACACTTAGATTTCTCAAATACTGGCTTAGGATGTTCTTCTTCCTTTATCTTTTGCTCGTTTAAATAATTGTGCAGGTGATTGCGGGCCCGGCAGTTTTGACGTTCACATCCATTAGTTCAAGGGGTGTTTTCCTGGCATGGGGGAGCGCGTTCCCGTTGCGTCCCCGGCCGCTCCTCCAGCAGGGCTGCAGCCGGGGAGGCCGCAAGGCCCTTTAGCCGCCCCGTTCCTCCCAGGAGCTGCCCTGGCAGGTTGGTGGCTCCGTGCGGAGGTGCCGTTCGGTGCTGCAGGGCGCAGCAGAGCAGCCCCGCGCGCTCTGCGGAAGCCGCGGCAGCTAAACCGGAGCCTGACGCGGGGCTGCTAAGAGGCAGCTGCAGCCTGTTCCTTTAATAAAGGAAAGGCAGAATAACCAAACACTTCTGCCTTTTATTTATTAAATGCTATTTGATTAGTGTAGTGAGCAAAAGGAAAA